GCATGTCTCACTTCCACTTAATGATCACATTCAAATCACCAGAAGTTTGCATCCTTTAAAACGTTTCCGTTCCATTATTTTTGATTATTGGTCGATGTTCTTAGGTTCTATTCAAAAATGATGGGTACAATAAGCAGAACAATCAGCGGTTGCCGCTTGATGAGCAAATCAGGTCAGCATTCCTGAATGGTGACGATGCGAATCAACGTTCTATCAGAAGAAAACCTGAAAGTGAGTTCAGCATACTCGGATTCTCGTTATGAAATCGACATCTTGCGAACAAATGATTTTCTGCTCACTGTGAAGAGTGATTTTCTGCTCACTGTGAAGAGTGATCATTGTCATACTTCGAAAGGGATTTCAGATCACTGTAGGCGACAGATCACTGTTCGCTGTAGGCGCAATAAAACTGAGCGAAAACTAGTGACCCAATAATTCGCAAATATCTTCTTCAACACCCTCATGACATGGCGAAAAGCCCAACTGACTGTCGTATTGTTGAGGTGATAATTTTGGAGTTGGCACATCAGATGCACGAACTTTATGCAGAATATTCTTTAGTGTTGCTGTAATGAGTACTTAGTGTGACTGTAAAAACTGCTCTTTCTGTTTTAAGCTGACAATCCTGTCCCACTAAACAATTCCTACGATCGGATGCTACAGAGCTGTGCTCAACTGGAAACGTAAAATTAGAATTATTGATATTGTAGATTACCCATAAGAGATTTGTATGCGGCATGGCCTGGTGGTAAAATAATCATCTTCTTTTTCAGTTAACAGTCATGTTCCACTTCAAAAGAGCAGCAGTACATTTAGCGGCGATTCGTCACCATTGGAAAACGACGCATATGAAACAGAAACGAATGAATCGAAACTATTCGTCACTCAACCGTCACACGAAGAAACTACCACAAATGAAGAACCAAAGGAAATAATCACAGGATATCCGGAAGAGACGACTCAACCAACCCGAAGACGTTTCATTTACGTTACGAAAAGACCTCGAAAATCCAGAAATTGATTGAGATTTAATATTTATGGTGATCACTGATTATCCAATGTTCAATCATCAATTAATTTATGCGTATGATGCTTAATAAACAAAGGATTTGTAAAAGGAGTGATACTACATGGTTTTGATACACAGCATCAATTAAGATTTTGATTAGATTCAGACCAGA